TATGTACTGACGACTTGTGCGCCTCGCCGCGAGCAAGTAAATGGTTGTGCCGATTTACAGCAGGGTCACGCTGATGAGCGACTCGGGGTTGCTGGTTGTAACTTCTATCGCCGTGTGTCTCAAAGTCGCGAAACTGAAGCCAGGGCGATCACTGTTGGTATCGTTGCTGCATAGGCCGGACGCAATCGGTAATTCTGTGGCTCTTACTAACACGAGCCTCTTTGGGCCGGTAATTAGATCGAGGCTAATTTGATGCTTTTATGCTCTGAAGCTGAAAGATGCTATTCTGCTCTGAAAGCACTGTCTCGCTAAGTGTACCCGACAGAGAAAGTGGAACGAAGATAACGGTGCAGCTGGCTCAGGATCACTGGGGATTTAGTACCGTGGCTCTGAGTTGGAAAACGTGAGGGATGACAGAAATAGGCTCACAGCAGGCAGGTACGGAGGGGGATATCAAACAGCGAGGTAAGTAGGCAAGTAAGCAATAAACTGCGGCGAAGGGTGGAAATGGGAAAGGCGGTGTGATTGCTGGAGTGCCAGCTTGCAGCTGGTTCTGTTCCTGTCACGCGGGTTGCTGAAATGGTTTGACAGCCTGTTCCGCTGCGACAGCAATAGGCGAGTGCCTGCATCTACATTGTATCAATTTCGGCCAATATCATAGATACTCAAAGTATTCCCGAGTGGATTCTCAGGTGTAATCACCAACAGAAACACAGTTTCGCGATGTAGCAGGTGTTTCTTGTTTTCTGAATACAGTCACGACAGAAAATGCAACACCTGAAAAAAAAAAAAACATGTAGCGAACCTAGATGAATTTCGGGACAGATCAGCCTCAACTACGGGAAGCCGCCCACTTCAGGAAAAATATATTGCACCCTCTTGACCCAAAAAGTTTTACTCAATCGAGAAGGGATGCGACTCGGGAGGCATCAACCCTAAAAACAATGCCCTTTACCGTGTTTAGGGTTGATCCCTCCCGCAAATGCGTCCAGATTTTATAAGGGTTTAATTCTCTGCCCTGTCGTAAATTTACGTTCTTTAATTTAACAAATCCAAGTCGGGAGGGTAAACTAGATAGTTCTCTTTTTGTCACCTCCCAAACATTTCGATCAGCGTGAACAGTGTGACTAAAAAGCGACGACCAATAAACGTCGAGAAATTCCAGGTTGATTACACCTGAGAAACCGCTCAGAACTAATCTGAGTATTTATGAAGTTGGCCGCATCAATTTGGCTGCAGTGTTTGCGGTGATGCAAAGTGCACACAGCAAGGCTTGGGGGGGTTCACACATGGGCAGCGATGGTTCTGAAAGGCAGGGAGGGGAGGGGGGAGAGACGCCAGCTGCAACCATGTGGTTGCTGCTGTTGCAGTGCTATGGCAGTTCTAGACTGGTGCGCTGACGTGACTCCGCCCGCCACGCAACCTCCTGCTTGTGATTCGGAGAGGTTGAGGGACGGAAGGGGATGTGGCGGGCGGGAGTGGCGGTTGGGTGGGAGTGGGGAGGGGTGTTGTACAGTAACAGTGTTTCAGGTCTTAGCTTGGATCTTGGCCCTTGGTGGGGGAGCGTTGGTGATTGGTACAGTGCATAGAAGGCGTGAGTGCTCCGCAAGGCACGGCATGGTCTGGTGTACAGTTAATGGGCTCTACACTTGCGGCGGCGGCAAATAAAGGTTAAATTTCACGGCCACCTTGAGAAATTAAATTTTGAGGTGTGCGCCACCCCTATCACGAAGGCAGGGCACTTTTTCCATACAGTTTAGGGGGCACGAACCCCTTCGATTTTCCTATTTTCACTGTGGTGTCAATCATATCACAAACCACCGCAGTTCGTTCTTGGCACTTAATATATAGCAACTGGTTATGCAGATCCATCTGTCAGTTTATGGCTGCCGAGCATCACACCCGAATACTCGCTGGTTAGTTGCGTGCAGTGGGCTGAGTTATATAAAAAACAAAGGCGAGCCGAATGGAGCATTTATACAGGGGTATTTTGCTGATACCCTTGTATACAAGGAGGTTATCATGCACTGCCTAATTGTTTCGGGGTACCAAGCTAAATGTACTCGGCTCTTGTCTGATTTCGCGAGGATCCCGTCCAGTACACCCTGTTTCTCGACCCTCTCACCTTGCGCGATTCGCTGCTACAGTGCGGTCAGGTGCCATAAACCGTATGGCTGAAACCTGCGGGCAAAGCCGCACCAGCTGACGGAGTGGTACTGGGGGCAAAATTTTTCTTTATCGCTGTATACCCTTTTCAACCGCTTTGAAACTCTTGGTTAATGTTCTTTACCATGCAGCATCCTAGCTAACCGCTTTCTTGTGAATGTGCTTGTACCGTCGGTGATAAGACCATTTCAAACGTGGTGACGTTCTACAACCTGTGCATGTTCTGCAACCAGATGCTCTGCTATCGCGAAACAGGGTGTACCAGGCAGACTTCGCCCAGCTTGAATCAAAGTTCTCCCTAAATTGTTGCTCAAAGCATGGGCTCTTCTTGGTCCGACTACAGATTCCGTGTCTCGAAGGAACATGTAAACGGGGATGCAATCATGAAGAAAATCCCAGATTGTTGCGATATTCTCTTACGTAAATAATGGAAAGTCAAAGGACAACTCTAAAAAAATTGGCGTCACAAAACTTGAGTTGACAGCGTGGATTGGATTTTAGCGAAAGCTACAGAGATTGGGACGAGGCTACCCCCAAAAATGAGTTACATATTTCACACTACCTAGCAAGTGGCGCGCGGGATTCACCCTGGAATGATGAGAAGTGAGCATCTCAGAGCCACGCAACGCAAGGCAGCACATCAGAGTTCACATGTGCAAGAGACCCAACGTGGCTGGCCTGTGGATCCAAAGTCAAGACTTTGATCCCTACCCTACTATCGAGGCACTCAACCTTTATTTTTCCTTTTTCTTTTCAAGAAACTCTTCAACAAGGTGGCTGGCTTGTGGGGACTGTCAACAAGGTACAGCAGCGCACTGACACAAAATAGGCTGACGGAATGGTGTAGTACATGAGGGAAACACAAAATAGGCTGACGGAAACACCACCAAAATGCGAGAGTTCAAAGAGGGTTGATTTCAAGCGTGTGTTTGTTGACCACAAAGGTCGTGTTATGGTGATTGTTCTCTGGCCATTCTTTCGCATGTGATTGGTTCATTTCACTAGGTGTACTCCACGGTGTGTCGACGCGCAGGTTGTTTGCCAGAAAAGGGAATGAAGTATTTGCGCAACGCGACGACTCTCAAATTTTATCTAAGCCTGTCGACTAACCTCGCACAGCGCTGCCCGTTTTTCGTATTTCTCAATTCCATGGAGTGCAACTTGCTCTTCACCCGAAATCACGGTCTGGTCAGCCAGACGATTTGTTATTTAACAGTTTTGGATCCTTTTGATTTCTTGCTTTGGGTGAGAACAATCTGACGCTATCCATGCAATAACTGCAACCCCTTAGTACGAGTTGTCATTTTGCACAGTTGCATTGATGATACACAGTGGCCGTAGTGTCGTGACGCGTAGATACTTCAGGGCTAGAATGATTAAAAAATACAAAATTGCAGAGACAATTATAGTATACATTAGGACCAACCGTAATGAGACAACTGGACTCTTGCATCCTAGAAAACAATACAGTGTAGACTACAAATTTAAAATAGCATATTAATGAGTTCAGTTTTATTCCTTTCCTAATATTATTGGAAAAAACTAAAATTTAATATGTCACATTTAATTCATATAGATCCCTATATAACCTTGTATCATTAAAAAACAAATAGGTTAACAGTTATTGCGTATTCAGGGTAAACCATGCCAGGCTAAAGAATGTGTCGTCCAACAAATCCGATACAAACTTTGTCGAGAGTGTTTATGCCATTATCGCAAAAGCGCATGTAAAGGTCCATGGGATTTAGAAATATCAAAAATCGGGTAGCGCGGTGCGAGGATAGCTGATAGAATTAAGCAAAATTTAAACGTCGTCGCTTTGCGCGCTTACTTTGAAGAGAAGGTTCGGGTTCGGGCGGGTTTCGTTTGGAACGTCGGGGAGGCATTCAACCACTAGACGATGACGAATTGCCCTGCCTCCAGCTGTTTTTGGAGCTTTGTGATTGGAGCACCCCACCCTCCTCTATCGCACAGTTCAAGACGTTCGTACTGTATCACCAAAGGGATCTCACTCTTTCAAACCTCATGCAGCACTGTTGCTTAAACGTGGGCATCATTCAAGACGACGACGTGTTGTCCCGGTCCCAGTCAGACGCCCAGAAAGCAGCACCAAAACGACGATTTGAAGGTTTCCTGGGCTGCTCGAGATTTTTCCCGTTCACGATCCTGAGCATTTCGCCCCCACCGTCACGGGTTCAGGCTTAAAAGCAAAAGCTAAATTCCGGGTTCGAAACTAGGTGAATTTTCGGCGAAAATGTTTGTTCCTAAGTGAAGTTACAGAACTTCTAGATGCTTGGATCCGAACTACTTATCCTAAAAGAAGGGAAGGGAGGAAGGGGGTAAGGTGTACAGGAGAACAGGTTAGTGGGAGGCTCCTTCGAATCAGACCAACACTTGGATTCAGGGAGGGCCCAAAGGAGACCTAGACGAGTCCGGGAAAGGGCCAACTGAAACCCTAGTGCTCACGGGTGACATGCAAAACCAAAACATTAAATGGACAGGTACGACGAAAGTAAGCCGGAAAGTTCAGAGCCTTCACAAAAAATGCCCTTGCACAGGTCTGGAGGGGGGGTGCAACGCAACAGCAAGCAATGAAATAGGACTCGCTACGAACGTCTCCATCTAATCTTTATGTGTACCGGACCGTGTAGGGACTCAAGTTCTAGGTACTTAGCAAGCATTCCAATACATTACCCGCGCATTCATCACATTCAATCAAGTTAAACACAAAGCATGAATCACCCACTTGCAACCTGTGCTTTTCTCGACGTTAGTCAGCCAACGTTCTCCTACTTTTAATATTCTCGCTGTTCGCCGTCCTCTGTTTCGGTCTAATGTTGCGCCGCTTCCGATTCGGTCGACTTGGATCGCTCCCCATCCAGCCACACGCCGCCCTCTCGCGCCTCTTTCAGCTACGAAATGCTCCGCTCACATCCCTGCGCGCCCTTCCGCGGGAACCCCCGCGCGCATGTCCCTCTGATGCGCCTCCGCGCCACTTCACGGTGGTGGCGGGGCGGCGGAACCACGGGGGAGGCGCGATGAAGCAGCGCCCCAAGGATTGGCGCCCGCAGTCCACCCCTTTCCACGCGCGCAACCGCAGCCCCCGGCGGAACGACCGCACCGTTCCGCTGGGCCCACGGGGCGGAAACGGGGGCGATGGCGGAGACGGTTCCGCGGAGAGCGCAGGGCGGATGCAGCGCGATGTGGCGGATCTGGGCGCGGATTGGCGGCTGGGGCCGGGGGAAGCAGTGGGAAGAGTTATGTCCGCTCAGGCTAACTTCGTACGCGTGATTGTAACGAGATACGGTGTGGAAGGCGAGAGAGAGGGCATCGAGGTGCGAGGAGAGGAGTCGGACCGAGGCAGTAACGGTCAATCACCCCAAGGTGGGATGATACGAAGCTACGGCGAGAGGAGCAGAAACCAGAAACCCTTCCCAACTGTTCTCTTCTCTTAGAGTAGCAAAAACTCTGAACCCTCCCCGACCCCCTCCCCACGCCCTGCTTCTCCTTCCCCCCAATCCAAGAACCCCAAACCGCAACCCTCTCGCCCCTGCCCCCTCACACCCCCCTCCCCCAGCAGAACCTCAAATCTTTCAGCCTCGGACTTCCTACCATAAACCTCTGTTAAACCTCTCCGCTTCCAAAAGCTGAAGCACGAAACCCGAAACTCCAGGCAGCCAGGCAGGCAGTAGCAGCCACGCAAATTGGCTTTTCAGTCGACTCAAAAGCCACAGTGCGAGAGGCATCGTAACCCATTCCACTCACCCCTGCCTCTCCATGCTGCCCTCTCATCTGTGCAGGCGGGGGAGGAGAGACGCCACGAGGCGCAGCGGAGCAGCAAGTGGGGGAGCAGAGGTGACAAGGGGCATTCGTATCGACCTCTCCCCCCCCCCCCCTCCCTCCCTCTGCCTCTCATCTTGTGCATGCCACCCTCCCATCTGAGCAGGTGGGCAACGGGAGACTCCAAGAGGCACAGCGGAGCAGCAAGTGGGGGAGCAGAGGCAGCAGGCGGAGGGCGCGGAGGGGAGAGAGGGGAAAGAGGGTATGGAGAGAAGGGAGGGAAGGGAGGAGGAGAGGGAGGGGGTTGAGTTGCTGTGTGTGGTGCGAGCACTACTTAAGAAACTCAGGAGGAGGGTTCTAGTGGGGGACGTTGTAAGGCTAGGTGGGATTGATTGGGCTGCCCGCCAGGCTGTCGTTCAAGACGTTGCCCTGCCCCGGGCATCTGAAATTTTGGACCCGCCCGTGGCGAACGCAGACCACCTGCTGCTGCTCTTCTCGCTTGCCCAGCCGCCGCCCGAGCCGTCGAACGTGAGCCGGTTTCTGGTGGCTGCGGAGGCGACAGGTGTCGCCGTGTCATTGGTGTTCAACAAGGCGGATCTTGTGGATGAGCAGGTGAGGCTTTTGGTCGTTCTGAAATTAGGCAGGCAGGAATACACCATGAATGCATGAGTGGCATCTTGCAGAGAATTAGACGAAATTGAATGTGTCAGTGTGCCCCATGCATAGCCTCTTGTGTCGCAGGAATAAAAAACTTTCGGATTTCCGAGACGTCTCTTTTTTTCTTCTTTTTTTCAAGAATTGGGCAGAGCCGCTCTGTGGTGGGGTGCTGCTGGGCTGTGCATGTGAGTGTGTGGAGTGCTAGCTTCCTCTCCCCGCTCTCTCATCCCTCCCATGAGGCAGTGCAGGAGAGCTGCAGCGGGCGGCAGCGTGGGTTTACTAGATGTTCAGATGACTTTAGAAGGTGACTCTACAAGCTATCTCTCCCTCGCTATCCCCCCTTCGTCTCGCCCTCAAACCCTCCTAGTTACCCCTCCCTCCTCTGTTCCCTCTCTCCCTGCCTCCCCTCCCTTCTATCAGGCTGTGCGGGAGTGGCAGAAGCGGGCAGCAGAGTGGGGTTACCTGATGCTCACATGCAGTGTGGAGCGGCGAATCGGAATCCGCCACCTGGCGGGTCCGGGAGGCCTCCTGGCGGGTCGCACTACGGTGATTGCGGGGCCGAGTGGAGTTGGCAAATCCAGCCTTATAAACGCTGTTTTGGGAGAGGCGTATAACAGGGATGCTTATAAAGGGGAGGTTTGTGATGCAGATGGTTTGAAGGAGGGAGGGGAGGGAGAAGGTGGAGAGGCTAAATTTGAGGAGTTGAGGGTTGGGGAGGTTTCGAAGCGGAGTGGGAGGGGGCGACACACAACACGACACGTGGCCCTTGTGAAAATACCGGATGTAACTATAGAGGGAGACGCTGCTGCGACAGTGCCAGACATGACTGTAACGGAACGTGTTACCGCAACAGTACCGGATGTGATTATAGAGGGAGACAGAAGGCATCCGGCAGAGGGAGTGAGAGTACTACAGGAAGGGGGTGCAATCCGTGACCATAGCAGCAGCAATAGCAACGGTAATATCAATAACAGAACCAACAGTAACAGCAACATTGACGGCAACAGTAACAGCAACAGTGACAGCAGTATCATCAATAGCAGCAATAACAGTACCAGCAGCAGTGACAGCAGCAGTACCAGCAGCAGCAGCAGCAGCAGCAGTGGCGGGTTGCTAGCAGACTCACCAGGGTTCAGCCAGCCATCGCTTGCCAACGTGACCTGCTCTGACCTCCCCATGCTCTTCCCTGAGGTACGCTCTTTTTTAACGAGGTGACTTTTGAGTCGACTCAAAAGTCGCCCCATTTTTATGTATATATGTGGACATCTAGCAGTCGTAACTGCAAGTTGACTTGATAGTTTCCACTTCCCATGTCACCATGCTGTTTCCTTGAGCTACCTCGCATGCCTCCACTCTCCCCCCCTCTATCCACGTATATCTATCCCCCATCCTTCTCGCCTCCCTTCACCCTACTTCCCCTCCCTCTCCCCCTCCCCCTCCTGCTATTTCTTTCCCATACCCCTGTTAAGACTCGCCCCTTTCTCTCAACAACACAGATCCGCACTTGCCTCGCCGCCTCCCCCACTGCCTGTGTTTCCACTCTCACTGTCTCATGGTTATCATCCCTTTTGTGCTCTGACTCCCCTTGTACTCTTATCCTCTTCTCCCAACAACACAGATTCGTTCCCGCCTAGCTGCCTCCCCCACCCCCTGCGCATTCGCCGACTGCCGCCACATTAGCGAGCCCGGGTGTGCGGTGGATAGCGGTTGGGAGCGGTACCGGCACTACGTGATGCTGATGGACGAGATCAGAGCGCGGGAAGCAGCTGAAATCCGGGCCGTTGGTACCAAGAGGGAGGGTGATGTGAGGTTGAAGAGTAGGGGGTATGGGGTGGTGGTGGCAGAACCGAGACTAGAAGCAAAGAAGCACCGAAGGGAATCGAGGAAGAAAGGGAAGCAGCTGCTGCTGCAACAACTGGCTGTGGAGGACGAGGAGGATGAGGAGGAGGAAAGAGTGGGGTTTGCAGGGGGGTATGAGGGGAGTGAGGGGAGGCGGTGAGATAGAGGAAGAGAGGCCGGTGCAGCTGGGGGACACACTGGAGGAGGGGTAGGTGTCTACAAAGGGGATGGGGGGAGGGGCTACCGAAAACCGGTTACAATGCAACTAGATGCTGTTGTATTTGCTGCCGAGTTCTTGCTTGTCCACCTACTTGTACCCTTGTATCACCGATGAATACAAAGGACCGTTTGGAAGAGAGATATTGCCGTGGGAAGTGGGGGCAGAGTTTCAGAGTGAAGCGGTGAGAATGATACAGCTCTAGAAGGCTCGGCTAGTGGAATGGGGGGTTGGCTGGCTGGCGTACTTTTGGAAAATATTTCAAAACAAGCTCTGGGCGATGATAGTGTCAATTGTTGTAGCCTGTAGTGAGGTTTGTCTTAGGGGATACAGAAGTTAGGGTTTGTTATATGTACCCCAACCAACATCAATGGCATCATCATTCCTCATTCTGACATGGTATCAGCTAGGTTAGGATCCTGTGGGATCCCGTTCCTCCGTTCTCCGTTCGTCCCTCCCGAGCCTGATCCTACCTCTCGTTCGTACCGGTTCCGTTGTTACCGCGCCTAGTACCGAGCCTAGCGCCCTCTCCCCCGTCGCTTAGCGCCCTTTCTCCCCGTCGCGTAGCGCCCTTTCCCCCACCCCCCCCCCCCCCGTCGCGTCGCGCCCTTTCCCCCCGTCGCCTAGCGCTCTTTCCCCCCGTCGCGTCGCGCCCGTTCCCCCCGTCACGTCGTGCCCGCCCTTTCCCCCCCGTCCCGTCGCCCTGTCCCGTCGCGTCGCCCTGCCCCGTCCCGTCGCCCTGCCCCGTCGCGTCGCCCTGCCCCGTCCCGTCACCCTGCCCCGTCGCGTCGCCCTGCCCCGTCGCGTCGCCCTGCCCCGTCCCGTCACCCTGCCCCATCGCGCCGCCCTGCCCCGTCGCGTCGCCCTGTCCCGTCCCTACGCCCTCGCCCGTCGCCCTACCCTACGCCCTGGCCCGTCGCCCTACCCTACGCCCTGGCCCGTCGCCCTACCCTACGCCCTGGCCCGTCGCCCTACCCTACGCCCTGGCCCGTCGCCCTACCCTACGCCCTGGCCCGTCGCCCTACCCTACGCCCTGGCCCGTCGCCCTACCCTACGCCCTGGCCCGTCGCCCTACCCTACGCCCTGGCCCGTCGCCCTACCCTACGCCCTGGCCCGTCGCCCTACCCTACGCCCTGGCCCGTCGCCCTACCCTACGCCCTAGCCCGTCGCCCTACCCTACGCCCTGGCCCGTCGCCCTAGCCCGCTCTTCCGCTGCGACTGAGTCCCCTTCCCACCTGAACCCTAATTTGCCTCTTCTCCCCGGTTGTTACTCGCCTGTTCGTTCGCGTTAGTTCTCACTATGGCGACTCCGCGAGTTCTTCGTTTCGACGTTGACGGTAGACCACTTGACTTTTCCGTCTGGCTTCTTCGCGCTCGCCGTCTGTTAGAGAGTCAGGTCCAGGGGGGCGAGACCCTCTGGTCGCACGCTACTGGTGACCTCCCCGAGCCCCCCGAGCCTACAGCTTTAGGCTCTGCCCCTGACGACGCTGCTACGGCTCGCTTTGCCCGTCAGCGCGCTGACCGGACGGCTTGGACGTCGCGTGACGCTGCGGCCTGCATCGCACTCAGCAGCCTCCTCCCTGAGTCAGAGGAGGTCCACTTTACTCAGGTTCGCACCGCTGCTGCGTACCTCACTGCGATTAAGGCCCGCTACTCTACTCCCGCTACTGTCTCTCTTGGCAGTCTTTTCCTCCCGTTCCTGTTTCCTGATCTCGCCTCGTTTGAGCGCTCTGCTGACTTGATCGCTCACCTCCGCTCGCTCGACGCTAGTTACCGCGCTGCTTGCACTGAGGCACAGCTTGCACTGCTTCCTCCCCCCATGGCGATTACTGTCTATTTCATCGCCACTAGCCTCCCTGACCGCCTAGCCTCCGTTCGTGACGCGCTTCTGCTGAAACACCCTAGTGAGCTGACTATCGAGGTCCTTGAGTCTGCACTCAAGGACGTCGAGAGCAACCTTCGCTCGGTAGCTGCCGCCTCTGGTACTGTGTCCCCCCCACTCTTCCACGGGTGCACAGTCCCGCAGTTACCCACCTTCACTGCCTCTCTCGCCACTGCCGCTACTGACGCGACTGCGGCTGCTGTTACGACTGCGTCGCGGTCCCGCGGCAAGGGTGGCAAGAAAGGTAGTTCTGGTGGAGGTGGAGGTGGAGGTAGCGGAGGTAGTGGGGGTGCAGTTGCGACTGGCGGTGGTGGGAGTGCAGCGTCTGGAGAGACCCCTCGTGCAGCGGCTGGTGACTCCACTGCGCCTGCTGGTGGCGGCGACCCCCGAGCTCGTCAGTCGCCTCCTGTACTGCCGACCCCGCTAGGTGGAGCAGCGGCGTGGTACCAGGCTCAGCGTCAGCAGCACCTTCAGCAGCAGCAGCAGCCCCTTTCCTCCCGCCAGCCTCAGCAGCAGCAGCGTCAGCAGCTGGCTCCGGGGTCGGGGCTGCGTCAGCCCCAGCGCGGTGCTTCTTACCCTCCCTGCACCTATCAGGTTCTGACAGGTCCTCGTCGGGGCCACCCTTGTGGCCGCTTTCACCCCCCTGGTCAGTGCTTTGCTCAGCTCACTGACACGGTCCGGTTGGCCTACGGGGTTGGCGGTCCTGCTCTTGACTGGCTTCCTCTGGTTCAGCGCTACGGCTCCGCTCTGTGGGGCATGTCTGCTGAGCAGTTAGTTGATCTGATTGGTGCTCCTCATGCTATGTATGCTGTTGTTGACTCTAGTGTTTCTGACTCTGTTTACTCTGGTGTTGTTAGCTTAGGTGCTAGTCTTGCTCAGTTGCCTGTTGCTAGTGTAGGTTCTTGTGTAGACTCTAGACCAGCGACTACCTCAGAGGACGCTTCTCTGTCGTTCACGCTGGACTCTGGAGCCTCACACTGCTTCTTCCGGGACAGCACGACACTTACACCACTTCCTGCGCCTGTTTCTGTGGCTTTGGCTGATCCCACTACGGGACCAGTCACTGCACGTCACACTACCACTTTACCGTGTCCTGCTGCTCCCTCCGGGTCTCTCACTGGGTTTCACGTCCCCTCGTTCTCCCGGAACTTGGTGGGCGTGCGACCCCTCGTGAGTCAGCACGTGGGTGTGTGGTTTGAGCCTTCTGGAGAGACTGCGGTGTGTGTTGACGGAGACTCTTACCAGCCTCTTGCTACCTTTACTGCTGAGCCGGGCTCGGGTCTCTACACTCTTCACACTGGCCCGCGTGCGCCGCAGCAGCAGCCGCAGCAGCTGCAGCAGCCGTAGCTGCAGCAGCAGCAGCAGCAGCAGCAGCAGCAGCACCAGCGGCCGCACCAGCAGCCCCCCCTACTGCCACTGCCCCCGGTTCCCCCCCCCGTTCGGGTCCCCGCGTCTCACCAGGTTGCTACGTCCCCCCAGGTGTCTGTGTCGTGTCAGGTTCCTACGTCTGTTCCAGTCGCTGCGTTGTGCTCCTGCCGGTCGCTTGCCCACCCCACCGTTCTGTGGCACCACCGGATGGGGCACCCGTCCCTTCCACGTCTGCGCGCTATGTCTAGTCAGCGTCTTGTCCTAGGCCTCCCACGTGTCTTGCCGTCGCTGCCGCCTTCGCCTGCGCCGCCGTGTCGTCCCTGCGTCGAGGGTAGGCTGCGCGCCACCCCTCACTCCTCCTCCCTTCGTCCGGCCACCGAGCCTTTTGAGACGCTTCACTTGGACGTCTGGGGCCCAGCCCCTCGTCTAGGCCCTGAGCGTGAGCGTTACTTTCTGGTGGTCGTTGACGACTTCTCCCGCTACACCACAGTGTTCCCTCTGGCGAAGAAGTCTGAGGTGACTTCTACGCTGATCAGGTGGTTGCTCACCACCGAGGACACTCGTGGTCGTCGTGTCAGCTGTCTCCACTCCGACCGTGGGGGTGAGTTTCGCTCCGGCATTCTCGCTGGATTCTGTCGCGAGCAGGGCATTCGTCAGTCCTGGACGCTTCCAGAGTCCCCACAGCAGAATGGGGTTGCTGAGCGCCGCATAGGCCTGGTCATGGAGATCGCCCGCACCTCCCTGACTCACGCCTGTGCCCCCCATTTTCTGTGGCCCTACGCGGTCAGGTACGCCGCGCACCAGCTGAACCTCTGGCCACGTGTCTCTCGACCAGAGGTTTCACCGACCAGTCTTTGGACAGGGTCCCCTGGTGTTGCGTCGCGCTTTCGTGTCTGGGGGTGCTTGGCTCTTGTCCGCGACACCTCCACGGACAAGCTCTCGCCTCGTGCCGTCCCCTGTGTCTTCCTTGGTTTCCCTGAGGACTCCTCTGACTTCACCTTTTACCACCCTCCCTCTCACCGGTTCTTTGACTCCCGTGACGTCCGTTTCGAGGAGTCCACTCCGTACTACGTCACGTACCCCAGTCGAGGTCTCCAGGTTCCTCCTCCCCCCCTCTTCCTGACTGCCGCTCCCCCTCCTGTTCCCCCGGTACAGCCTCCCCCCCCTGGTCCAGCCCCGTCGGGTGTGTCCCAGGCTACCCCTCCTCCTTCGGTAGCCTCTCCGGTACAGCCTCCCTCCCCACAGTCCTCCTCGCAGCGTGCCGCAGGTGCTAGCTCTCGAGAGGTTGGTGCTGCGCCTGTTCCTGTACCGGTTTCTGGTTCTGGGGGTGGTGGGGTTGGAGCTGGAGTTGGAGCTGGAGTTTCTGGTTCTGGAGTTGGAGCTGACCCGGTGGGTGCAGAGGACTGTTGTCGTCCGGGAGCTGGTGCTGGTCGGGCGGACACTGGGGGTGAGAGTGCGCCTCCTTCGGGTTCTGGCGAGCCTGGGTCTGGAGCTGGTGTTAGTGCTGCCTCTGGGGGTGGTGCGCCTGGTTCTTCGGGGGTGGACTCTGGAGCTACCGCTGCTTCGGACACTACTCCGCCCCCCCACCCCTACCCGACTAGGCACCAGGCTCGTGTTCGCCGTGCCCGTGACGAGCAGCTGGCGTTGGAGAGAGAGGAGAGGGAGTTACAGCGGCTGGAGGAGCAGCAGCAGC